CGGCGGTGTACCCCCCCCCCCTAGTGCCGTGATTCTAAGAGACAAACACCGTACCAGATACAACATTTGAGCACGTACACTCCTCCACACACACCAAAACAAACGAGCCACCGGTTTGAAGGTCATGGACAACAAGACAACTAGTGACTTTCACTTTTTCAAACCACCATGATACTGCTGATATGGCCTAACTCATTTTTTGCACCCTTGAGACAATTTGTCGTTTTATGGATCATTTTTTAAATATATTTTAAAAATGGAAAAGTGTAAATTTAGGACAAAGGCCCAGCAATTTTTGAAAAAAACCCCATCATAAATGATGAACCATAAAGAGGGCAAATGTAAAATGGCAACATGCTCGATTATGGTCTGACTTATGCCACAATGGCAGCACCATGATGGAATGTTCCCCGACTAGCAAGTCAAAACTTTTCCCAAGCTTAGATTTTTTAAAGGGTAGAAACTTTACGCTCCCATCGACGCGATTTAGACCATTCAGTAGATGGCGGGCTTCGATCTGACTGCCACAGCCAACGCCCGGCTGAAAGGGATACATCGCTCCTCACTTGAATATCAAGGCCCCAAGATCTGGAATGCTCTGATTCATTCAAATGTCAGCTGAAGCAGGAGACCCGAGTGTATTCCTGAGTGAGGAGAACATTAAAATTTGTATCCATTATCTCGGACTTTCTGCGGGGATGTTGGGATCCAGGTTGGCCCTGACAGGCAGGATGGGAAGCCCGCCTCCTAAATGATCTAATCTGTGTCGATCATCATCATCATCATCCGGTGCCTTGCCGACTGGCGTGGGCGATCATGGACCTCCACTTCACTCTCTCTTGCGTTGCAGAGATGGTGTCTGTTGTTCTTGCTGCTCCTAGCCACGTTGTCATCTTGTCCAGTATCTTTTCCCAATGTCTGCCTCTGCCTCTCTTTCCATCAAACTTGCCCGTTGTTACTATATTCTCGAAAGCTTCTTTCCGTATTGTCTGTGTCGACAGGGGTGTACAAACACCTCAATTTACCATGTATTTAGAATTCAAATCAAGACATGGGAAATCGCGCAAAACCAAAAGGTATTAACAAATTCGTGCACAATAGCCGACCATCTACCTATCACAGACGGTGGGAGATCTTGTCAGTTAGTCTGCGTTTGAGCGCTATATCAGGTGCTGGCACTGCATGCTTCCTAGAAAACTGAGAATGTTTCTGAGTGTTTGATCGTCTGCTGGGGTAATAATAATATTATCTAGTGTATCATTGAGCTTACTGTAGAGCGGGGTTATTCGCTATACAAATGCTATGTATTATTATTACCTTATGCCACATTTCTAGCTATAACATATCAGCTAAAGTTTAAGTTTCGAGCGAATTAATTTTGCTTGATTGATCCCCGAAACGAAATAATTTTCCACGCCCTTCCTCCCTCCCCGTGACTCTTGCATAACGCC